TGGCCATTTGGATTATCTTCTTTGCAGAAATGGCTATTCATGTTTTCTGCCCATTTCTTGATTGGATTCTTTGTTCTTTGGGTGTTGAGTTTGATTAAGTTCTTTATAGATTTTGGATACTAGCACTTTATCTGATATGTTATTTGCAAATATCTTCTCCCATTCTCTTGGTTGTCTTTTGGTTTATTCGACTGTTTACTTTGCTGTGCAAAAAGCTTTTTTTTTTTTTTTTAGATTTTATTTATTTATTTGACAGAGAGAGACACAGTGAGAGAAGGAACACAAGCAGAGGGAGTGGGAGAGGGAGAAGCAGGCTTCCCGCAGAGCAGGGAGCCCGATGTGGGGCTCGATCCCAGGACCCTGGGATCATGACCTGAGCCAAAAGCAGACGCTTAACAACTGAGCCACCCAGGTGCTTTGCAAAAAGCTTTTTATCTAGATGAAGTCCCAATAGTTCATTTTTGCCCTTGCTTCACTTGCCTTTGGCGATGGGCTAGGAAGAAATTTCTGCAGCTGAGGCCAAAGAGGTTGCTTCCTGTGTTCTCCTCAAGGATTCTGATGGATTCCTGTCTCACATTTAGGTCTTTCATCCATATCAGGCACTCTTAATGTGTTGTTGGGATATTTAAATGAGTAGGGCACTTTTGGAAAATGTCATGTTGGCTTCAGATGGAATTGGAAGAATCATCTCCACTTCCCACATAACATATCAGTGAGAAATGCATTTTGTTCTAAGTTATAAGAAGGCGGACTTTCAGGAACCTGAATAAATAGGGCTTCATTTTTCTAACATAACACAAAGTCTAGAGATAGGCTGCTAGGGGCTTTGATTCAGCTGCTTGGCAGAGCTCAGTTTAGCCTGCGGGGCAAAGAAAGAGGAGGAGAGGGGGAGGAGAGGGGGAGGAGAGGGGCCTGCTCCTCCCCGGTTTTCTCACGCTGTTAAGGGAATCGAGACTATTCTCTGCAGCCCAGAGATGCTGCTGGGGCTTTGGTGGCTGCCACTGTGAGGGCAACAGAGGTCTGAGGAAGTGGTCTGGGTGGGGCTGTGGTCAGACACTCTGTTTGCTACCATGATCCCTGGAGGAGGAAGTAGATATGATCTGTATCCTACAGTCAATGTCAGTGAAGGAGGGTCTGTGCATCTAATCCCATTCTGGACTGACTTTGACCTATCAACACCCACTTTCAGATCTTGGAGATGGCTGAGAGACATCACAGTCCTTCTCTGGCCACACACCCTATCAAAAACCAAAAAGAGAGAACATCCTCTGGGACCCAAGGGCCCCCAGTTGCTCTCTGAGCATCAGAATTTCCAAAATTCAGAAAAGTGGAAATACTTTAGGATAGAGAAATATAGGGACACCTGGCTGGCCCAGACAGTGGAGCATGCAGCTCTTGATCTCGGGGTTGTGGGTTCAAGCCCCACACTGGGTGTAGAGATTATTTAAAAACAAAATCCTAAAAAAAAAAAAGATAAAGAAATATGGCTTCTAATATATGGCACTCTCTGAATGTGACAAATAAGAGCCAGGGGTCCCCAGGAAAGGACCCTAGAGATGGAAACACATCTCCTTATCTGGAGGGTAGGGGAGATGTACAGAGCCCTGAGGCTAATAGAAGGAGAGGCCATTGTAGAGGTTGTGCCCCCAGGATCCCACTCCACGGTCTGAGTCTTTTCCTCCAGGGGAAAAGCTGACTTCTCCAGTTTGCACCAGATACCCCAAATCTATACCCTTATAACCTGTAATACAGAGTCTTTTCAGAATCTAAAGAGCACATTGCCAGGAGCTTGTGTAAGAAGATGCTTCTCTCCTCCCTGGGCCCCAAGGCCCCCCATCCTTTAGTATTCATCCATATCTTAGGATCCCAAGATCATGACACCAGCACTACATATCAGGTGACCTTTCTTGGAGGTCGTAGTTCTGTGGACAGAACCATCTGAGAAGTTTGGCCCTTGGTTAAAACTTGTATGTGATTTTCTAGGCCTGATCACAGGCAAAGATGAAGGCCTTCCTTGGAGGGCAGGCCTCAAGGGGGAAACCTGCCCTCCCTGCTCCAGACTTGGTGACAGCCAGTGCATCAAAGGTTCTGAAGGGAGTTGCTCCCGTCAAGGACTCAGACCTCTCTGGCTGGTCATGCTCCTCGCATACCTGCATCCACAGGCCAGGGGCCTTCATTCCTACCTCTCTTTATCTGAGGTCTTAGGCAGAGGTCTTCAGGCTCCTCAACTGAGGCCTCCTTATGGGGGAAGGGGGAGAAAAACATGAAGACACTTCCCCACTCTGACTGAGAACTCAGTATTTTCTACTCCTACCTCCCCATTCCTATCCCTCACAGCGATTTTCCCTCCACTGACCCTCACCCTGCTCCTTGGCTATAAATTCCCACTTTCCCTTATTGTATTCAGAGTTGAGCCCAATCTCTCTCTCCTACTGCCAAACCCCATTGTGGTGGTTCCTGTACCTGTTGCAATGGCCCTGAATACAGTCTTTACCGTTCCTTAACAAGTGTCATGAATAATTTTTCCCTTGACAGTTAGAATCATATCTTTTTTGTTGTTGTTGTTTTTCAAGATTTATTTATTTATTTGACACAGAGAGAGAGAGCACAAGGAGGGGGAGCGACAGGCAGAGGGAGAGGGAAAAGCGGCTCCCCACTGAGCAGGGAGCCTGATGTGGGGCTCGATCCCAGGACCCTGGTATCATGACCTGAGCTGAAGGCAGACGTTTGACCAACTGAGCCACCCAGGTGCCCCTAGAATTATTTTTCTTCTTTGGAACCCAACCACCTTTCTGTGGGGGAAAGTGAAGTGTGGGAGTTGGTGTCTTCTCCCATTTAGACTCTTGTACAATGTGTCACCATAGTATGTGATTAAAGGCTTCATTGTTACTTTCATTTTGACTCGTTGTTTCAATTGCCTACTTAGACCTCTCATTCAGCTAAATACATGACACCACCTGGCTCAATGTCTCCTACGGTTGTTGGTCAGGACACCTGCATCCCTGAAGGCCTATGTGACTTGAGGACTGGCCAGAAGTCTGGTGTGAGAAGAAGAAAGCATGGCAGTCTCATTTCGCTACCGTTCTGTGGATCCAAAGGGTTAGCCTCCCCAAAGTTGAAATAGAAAGTACTGTCATTCTCTGGTCCAAATATTCTAGGAATCTTGGTATTGGGCCCTGTCCAAGGAAATGGCACAGGTTGGAAAAACACTCTGCTCTGGGGCAGTGATGGAAGTGGGGTGTCTGCTGTTCAGGGCAGAAGCGGGGTGTCAGAGCTCAAATGGGAGAAGGCTGATGCTGCTCTTTTGAATGCCCCCTTGGCTGTCTGTCTGCTGCCGCCTCCAGCTCCTTCCTGGAAAAACTCCCACCAGGGTCACCAAGGACCGTGTTCTTCTGCTGCTACTTTTCTGGCCAGGCCATCTCAGTCTCTCACCCCCATTCCCACAGTTAAGCTTGTGTGTGTGTGTGTGTGTGTGTGTGTGTGTGTGTGTGTGTGTGTTCCCACAGCTCCACCCAGGGCCCCCTGCTCCCCCCAGTGAATATACCTGCCCCTGGGGCCAACTCTGCTACCTTTTCCACCACCTTCTTCCCAGCCTAGCCCTGCACATTCACACTGCTCTTGGCCATGGCACCTCCCGCCCCCACTACTAGAGTCAGGGCTCTGGGAGTCACCCCAATAGTCCCTCCCCCCACTCACTGCACCTCTCTTTCAGTTTCACTTCCTGAAAGTGTCTTAATTCTTTCTTCCAACGCCAAGGCCACTGTCTCCACATGGGCTTGGTTCTCCACTTCCCCAAAGTCATAACAGTTTCTTCTCTGGCCTTTTGGCCTCCAGCCTCTCCTTTCCAGCTCTTCCCTACACTGGCCTTAAAGGGATCATGTTGATAACTATGTGACCCTGCCCCTTTCCTGCTCAAGAACCTTCCATGGCTCCCCATTGCCTTCAGATAAAACTTAAGCTTGTCTGTCTTCCCCCACTGCTTGAGCTAGTTGAGGGTCAGGACTGATTCAAATCTGTCTTTTTTTTTTTTTTTAATGTTAGTTTGTGAATGAAGGAAGGAAGGAAGGAAGTGAAGGTGTGTGTTGTTTCTCTTGCCTCATCTGGACTCTTTTATGCCTCTGAAGCTATGTAGGCTGTCCTGAGACCCATCCCTAGCAGACCACCTGAATGAGGGTCCCGAGACTGTGACTCTCTGGGGGGCTGGCCAGGTGGGACTATAACAGCATTCCAACAGGTCTAAAGGGTTAATTTGCATAAGTTCCTTGATCTGTAGCCGACCTAACAGTCTTTGAGACTGGCAGACCACTAGCCTTGAGGAGTGAAGGACCAGACTTTCCCAGAAGACAAGTCCTGACCACATTGGAACACAGCTGCTGTGGATGCCAGCAAATCTGTTCAGGGTCATGTCCACACATGACTGACTGTCTGGCACCTCCTTCTCCTGCATGCAGCTCCCTTCCCTTTTCCTGGGCCTTCTTTGAGTCATTAGTCTGCCATCTTCCCAGGTTGCCAGCTTCCTGAATAAAGCACCATCGCTTGTCTCTCAAGTATTGATTTTTTTTTCCTTTTCCTTTAATTCCAGTATAGTAATCATACAGTATTATATTAGTTTTAGGTGTATGCGAGTATTATTGTCAAGTGGTGAGCAGCCGAACCCGAGTTCAGAACTGCTTCTCTGTCCAGTAACAGGTGTCCAGTTCGGACAACTGTGCAGGAGCCCAAGAGGCAGGACTTGGAGGCTCTCGTCCCTCCTTGCTGTCTTCCTTGAGCAAGACCTTTGCCACCTCTGAGCCCCGGGACCCACCACGCAGCCACACGCAGAAAGGGAACCAGTTAATCACAGTTGACTGCGGGTCTGAAGTTCTCTATAATAGGTTTGTGGCCTTTTGTTTCTATCACAGGCTTCCGGTCGAAGCTTCCTCTGCCCTCCCATATCCTGTGTCTTCCTTTCTCTGTCAGAGGGACCATAGAAGGCAAGCTGTCCCAGGCACCACGGAGGGATGCTGCTGTGGCTGCTTATGCTGTGGGGAGGTGAGTGGGCTGAGGGAAGAGGGGACCCCACTTGGGGGAGGCACCGGAGCTCCGGGATGAGTGTTTCCCTCTCTCTCCAGGGCCCCTGGATGCAGCTCTGAGCTACCAGCTAGAACTACAGGAGTCCGTGACGGTGCAGGAGGGCCTGTGTGTCCACGTGCCGTGCACGTTTTCCTACCCCTGGTTTGCCTTTGCACCCCCCTACATGTCTTGGTTCCAGAAAGGGGCAGATGTAAACCATGATCCTCCAGTGGCCACAAACAGACCAAACCAGAAGCTGCATGAGAGGACCCAGGGCCGGTTCTTCCTCCATGGGGACCTGCAGACCAAGGACTGCTCCCTGGACATCAAGGGAGTCAACATGGGGGACAGTGGGACTTACTTCTTTCAAATATTCACATATTCATATCTAGATAATATGCTTTCTCTGAATGTGACAGGTATGGTAGGGGCCCAGGGAAAGGCCCCAGAGATAGAAAAATGGACATTCTATTCCTCTTGGGGCTGATGAGAGGTGGAGAGAGCCATGGCCAGGCACTGGGGCAGGATGACAAAACACTGAGGGGTCACAACATCTCTCTGTCCTCACAGCCCTGACCCACACACCTGACATCCTCATCCCGGGGACCCTGGAGTCTGGCCGCCCCGGGAACCTGACCTGCTCTGTGCCCTGGGCCTGTGAGCGGGGCACGCCCCCCATCTTCTCCTGGACGTCAGTGGCCCTCACCTCCCTGGGCCCCAGGACCCACTTCTCCTCGGTGCTCACCCTCACCCCACGGCCCCAGGACCACGGCACCAACCTCACCTGTCAGGTGTACTTCCCTGCAGCTGGTGTGATGGTGGAAAGGACCGTCCAGCTCAATGTCACCTGTGAGTGTGGGGCCAGGATGCCCACGTCCCTGAGGGCGTGAGACCAGGGCAGAGCTGGGTTAGGGCTTGACAATGGGGTCTTGGTAGCTAAGGAGGAAGGGAACCCCCTTACCTGCTTCCATGGCTCCTGGGGGAAGGCCCAGCACCCACTCTTCCCTTGCCACGAATGCTGAGGTTGCCTCATCCTCTGTCCAGATGCTCCACAGAACACAGCTATCAGGATCTTCCAAGGAAACAGAACAGGTAGGAAAGAACCTCTTTTCTCCAGGACTGGGGTGGAACCTGGGTCTCCACCAAGACAGCCCTAGCTGGGTCTTAGAGCCCCTGCTGGCTAGGAACTGCATGAGAAACATACAAGAGGCCAGCCACTGAATTCAGGCATGGGGAGAGCTGTGGGAAGAAGCCCCCACAAACCTTGACTCCTTGAAGTTAATGTTTGCTCACCCACGACTTTCTTTGGTCAAATCCTCCTGCTTTTGGGCTCTGCTTTGGTCCTTTCACTGCCTTTGTTTACCATATCCCTGTCCCAAGCCCTCAGTTTTCCATCTGCTGGACAGTTGGAGCAGCTCCAGGGAAACCGTCTGAGCCTCCGTTGCAGGCCTTCGGACTGGACTCTGCCAGTTCCTTCCTCGGAGCAAGTGTGGACACTGCCAGAGGAAACACCAGCTTCACCCAGCTCATGTCTCTCCGTCTCTCTCTGCATCTCTCCCAAAGTTCTGAAGATTCTGCAAAACACGTCATCAGTTCTCATCCTGGAGGGCCAGGCTCTGCGTCTGCTCTGTGCTGCTGACAGCAGCCCCCCTGCAGAACTGAGCTGGTTCCGGGGGTCCCCCGCCTGGAATGCCACCCCCATCAACAGGAGTGCAAACCTGGACCTGCCTCAAGTAGGGGCTGCAGAGGAAGGAGACCTCACCTGCCAAGCTCAGAACCCGCTGGGCTCCCAGCACGTCTCCCTGCATCTCTCTGTGGTCTGTGAGTGTGGGGACCCCTGGGGGCTGGCTGCCCGGGGCCTGGGGAGGAGAGACACCGCTGACCCCTCACCTCCCTCCCGCAGACCCCCCGCGGCTGCTCAGCCCCTCCTGCTCCTGGGAGGGCGAGGGGCTGCACTGCAACTGTTCCTCCCGAGCCCAGCCGGCCCCCACCCTGCGTTGGCGGCTGGGGGAGGGGCTGCTGGAGGGGAACCACAGCAACGCCTCCTGGACCATCACCTCCAGCTCTGCGGGGCCCTGGGCCAACAGCTCCCTGAGCCTCAGCGGGCCGCTGGGCTCCAGCCTCAGACTCAGCTGCGAGGCCCGGAATGCCCACGGGTCCCAGAGCGCCGCCTTCCTACTGCTGCCAGGTCTGGGGGCCGTCGGGGGGTCATGCCTGGAGGAAGAAGAACTTGGCCCTTGTATTAATTTTCTAGGGATGATGTAACAAAGTACCTTAAACTGGGCAGCTTAAACAATGGAGATTTACTGTCTTCCAGTTTTGGAGGCTGGAAGCCTAGGATCAAGGTGCCTGCAGATCAGTTCCTTCTGAGGCTTTGAGAAACTTTTCCAGCCTCTTCCCTAGCTTCTGGGGTTTGCTGGCAATCTCTGGTGTTCCTTGGCCTGTGGAAGCATCACCCCAATCTCAGCCTTCATGCTTACATGGCATCCTCCTGTGTGTGTGTGTCCACACGTCCCCGTCTTATGAGGACACCAGTCATATTGGGTTACGGCCCACCCTAGGGATCCCATCTTAACTTGATTACCTTTGTAAAGGCTCTATTTCCAAATAAGGTTACATGCTGAGATGCTGGGGGTGGAAGGGTGTGCCAAAGAGCTAGGACTTCAGCATATGAATTTGGTGGGGGGCATAATTCAACCCATAACAGCCCCGGAGAAATGGGGCTGGTGGGGGAGAGCCACCAAGATCCCAAATGGAGGAGGTGGAGGCTTAAGATCCTTAGTCCTGTGGCCAGGGGAAGGGGCTGGTCCAGGGTCCACAGGGCAGCGGAATGCCACATGACTGAGTCCTGGATGGGGAGTGGGTGTGTATACCAATGGGACAGAGAGAGAGAGGGAAGTGGCTGGTTGGAACATGCCATGTATTGGAGCTGAGGCTTACACACAACGCAAATTTTCTGCAGGTACACCAGAACCCAGGACCAGTGGGGTCCTGGGAGCAGTTGGGGGAGCTGGCTCCATAGCCCTGCTTTCCCTCTGCCTTTGCCTTTTCTTCAGGTGAGAGTGGGTCCAGGGATGGAAGGAGAGGCCTGGAGTGGGCAGAGGGTGAGGTCGTGGAGTCTCAGAGAGCTTGAGCTAGAGGAACCTGGGCTGCCTGGAAATCCAGGAGCCCCGGAAGGAGGCTGAGTGGTGGTGTGGATCAGCCCTTACCCAACTGGGCCAAGCCTGGGGTCTCTTCCAGCTCCAGATCCAGCTCTTGGATTAGGGGGAGCACCTGGAGGCTGGACCCACCTCCACCTACCTTATTCTATGCTCTTCATGGGGTGCAGGGGATGGTCTGCCTACTGCATGCCCCAAATAACCAAGCTGAAAGGCCCGGGGCTTTTCCCTTAGAGTGAAGACCTGCAGGAAGAAAGCAGCCCAGCCAGTGCAAAGCATGGACATGAACCCAGCCAGCAGCTTAGGCTCTGGGGTGAGTGACAGGCCGTGAGCTCCTATCCAGCAAATAGCTTTCGGAAGTCGCCCTCAGTATGGGCGCCTGAGCATTTCCCTATAACATCCAATACTCCCTGAGTTCCACTTTAAATGACTGATTCAACTGCTCTAATGCTTCTGTTTCTGATGGAATATGTATATAGCCCACTTGCTTGTTGGGGGTATTCATGCCTCCTATGTCAGAGTATCACATTCCCTTGGAATATTAGCCTTTTCTTGTGGCGTTGATTACCCAGAAGTACAATGGCCCAAACTTTGTGTCAGACCCGCTGGGTGCAAGGGAAGTGGTAGACTGGAGCCCTAGGGTAGAGAGACTGGGGAACCCCAAACTCACAACTCATCACTCCCACTTTGCATTTTTCAAATCTACCACTGTGTTTATTTAATATCAACTTCATTGAGGTATACTTTATGCATAATAATGCACCCATTTTAAGTATGCAGTGAAATGAATTTTAACAAAGGTGTTCACCCTGTGCCCATGTCCCCAGTCAAGATGTGGAACATTTCCATCAGGTCCCCAAATTCCTTTGTCCCCTGCTCAGTCAGCTTGACCTTTCCAGCAATCACTGATTTCTATCACTTTGGATATCTTTTGTCCCTTCTGGAACTTCATTTAATGGAATCATGCAATATTTACTCTCTTTATCTGGCTTCTATCACTTCATTAAAAGATGTAAAAATCCTAAACATGTATGCCTCCAATAACAGAGCATCATTCATCAAAACAAATGTATGAAAACTGACAGAACAGCAAGGAGAACACATTGGCAATTATAGTTGATGATTTCAAAACTCTTCTCTCAGTAAACTGGCAGAACAAGTACACGCAAAATCATTTTTTTAAAGTTTAATTTACATAATTGCGTGTCTTGTTTCTCCTTGGTCAACCCTGGGGAACGGAACCCTTAGCATGTGCTAAATCCGCATCTTGTCAGGAATCAGGAGATATATCTTCCATTTCTTTGCCTTCAAATTCTCAGTATTTTTTTTTTAAGATTTTATTTATTTATTTGGGAGAGAGAGACAGAGATAGTGACAGAGAGCACAAGTGGGGAGGAGAGGGAGAAGCAGGCTCCCCACTGAGCAAGGAGCCCGATTTGGGGCTGGATCCCAGGACCCTGGTATTCATTACCTGAGCTTAAGGCAGACGCTCAACCGACTGAGCCACCCAGTCGCCCCCTCAGTACTTTTTTCTTTTAAGTGAATGTCTTTTGCAGTCAGTACAGTATAGTGGCTCAAAGCACGTACTCTGGAGCTAGACTCCTGCATTCAAATCCCATCTTTCCCTGCTGACAAGCTGGGTGACCTTGGGCAAGTGACACACCCTCTCTGACCTTTGTTTATTTTGGTGACATGGGAATATTATGAGTACATAGAGTATCATAGAGTAGTATGAGAAGTGTCTAACACAGTAGCTGACAGGGACTAAGCACAGTACTCATTACTACAATCAGAATCATTCCCTCCCCTAGCAGGTGAGTCCCAAGGGCAGTTTGTTGTTGTTGCTCTTGTTTTATTCCCTGTTGTATCCCCAGAGCCCAGAGAAATACCTGTTTCCTCTTAATCTGAGAACTATTTCTCTTTGCCTCTCTGAGAGACTGTGTGAGGGCATCATGTCTCATGTTTCTATAGCCTGAGGGTGTGGCGGGCACGGAGCAGATGTGGGCTGCTATCTTGACTGCCAAACCCGACCTCTGCTGGGTCTTCTAGCCCCTGCCCGGAAACTGGATATGCCACCCCTGCCCTGCTTTAGGTTTCAAAATATCTCATATCACAAATGTAGAACTCTGTATTTGTTTTCTATTTGTTTAGTAACTGCCTCTCCTAGAAAACCACAAGATGCCTGGTCTCAGGAAGTGTACTTGCTTTGTTTGTCACTCCACACAGCACCTTGTACTCTGTCTGGACAAAGGATGGTACTATAGTTAGAAAGAATTGGTTTTGTGTCTTGGCTCAATGGTGCATTTATACATTTATATAGATGTGTGTCTTTTTTTTTTTTTTTTAAAGTAGGTTCCACACCCAGCGTGGAGCCCAACACGGGACTTGAACTCACCACCCTGAGATCAAGACCTGAGCTGATATCAGCAGTTAGATGCTTAACCGACTGAGCCATCCAAGCACCCCTATATAGACGTGTGTCTTTAGGGCAATGTATATCATCTCTCTTAGCCTTAGTTTTATTATTTGTGTGATGAGTTTGATAATCATACCCTCTCCCAGCTTTTATTTTTTATTTATTTTTTATTTTTTTTAACTTTTTATTTATTTATTCATGAGAGAGAAAGAGAGAGAGAGAGAGGCAGAGGGAGAAGCAGGCTCCCAAGGAGCAGGGAGCCTGATGCGGGACTCGATCCCAGGACCCCGGGATCATGACCTGAGCCGAAGGCAGACGCTTAACCATCTGAGCCACCCAGGTGCCCCCAGCTTTTATTTTTTAAAGAATGTAATGCAGTTAATATAAATACTAAGGGCTGGTCAATCTTAATTATTAAACTTTTAATAATAAATTAATGGGTAAGTGATAAAAGTTCCATCAGGGCCAATCCCCTTGTGGTCCTTGGCTGTCCCCCCCGCTCCCAGACCCTATTGACCGACTCTCAGTCCACCCTCTTCCTTCCACTCAGGCACATCAGCACCAGTCCTGGACGGACAGCCCTGCAGACCACCCAGCTCCTGCCGATGCTAGCCCCATTTCAAGAGAGGAGCAGGAACTCCACTATGCTCTCCTCAGATTTCCCAAGCTGAAGCCTCAGAAATGGGAAAGCATCCACACGGAGTACACAGAGATCAAGGCACACAAGTGAGGAACTGCTTTTCTCATAGTTCTGGAGGCTGGGAGTCTGAGATCGACGTGTCAGCAGAGGACTCTCTCCTTGGCTTGCTGTGTGAGTCTGTGTCCTCGTCTCTTCTTCTTAAAAGGACACCAGATGTACTGGATTAACGCCCACACTAGTGACCTCATTTTAACTGAAATTGCCTCTTTAAATACCCTATTTCCTACAGTCTCTGTCTGAGGTACCGGGGATTAGGACTTCAACATACTCATCCCATGATTTCTCAACCTGTACTATTTTAAAATTAATGGCCTTCTTCACAAGGGTTTGAATCTCCTAGTATGTGTGGAAGACCCCAGGACTTGTGTCCAAAAGAACTGAGTTCCAATCCGTCTATGCCATGGATCACTTTATGACTCACTTTACTGTTCTACAAATCAGGGAAGTCATCCTTATGTAGCCAGGTGATCGCGAACGATCTAGGAGAGGCTACAAATGAAACAGTTAAGTCCTGACACAAAGCTTTCTGTGAACTCTGAAGACACGTGTGTGTCAGGACTTCCGTTAGACGCTTTAACAGAAAGTTTGTGCTAACGATTTCTCGGAGGCCTTGGAGGGGCCAGTCCCAGAGGTCACAGAACTTTCCCACCAGGACCAAACACAAGGAAGAATAGCGGCCCTTACCACTTCTATTAAACAGTATTTTGTAGATCCTTTCCAGTGCAATAAATGCAAGAAATAGAAATAAGCGTTATCCAGATCATAAAGTAAGATGCAAAACAGTTTTGGGGCGCCTGGGTGGCTCCATCAGTTAAACGTCTGACTTCGGGGTCATGATCTCAGGGTCCTAGGCTTGAGCCCTGAGTCAGGCTCCGCCCTCAGCGGGAAGTCTGCCTCTCCCTCTGCCTGCACTCCCCCTGCTTGTGCTCTCTCTCTCTCTCTCTCGCTCTTGCTCTCAAGTAAATAAATAAAAAATTTTGAAAATAATAAAAAATAATTTAAAAAAAGAAGAATGGATGAGCGAACTGCGGTGTAGATTCACAAGTGGAATATCGTGCAGCCGCCAGAGGGATGACGCTTGAAAACAAGGTGCTAAAGGAAAAAGCCAGACACTAAAGGACAAACATTGTTTGATTCTGCTTCTCTGAGCTACCCAGAACAGGCAAACTCATGGAAACAGAAAGTAGAATGGGGGTTGCTTGGAGCTCAGGGACGGAGGTGGGTGGGGGTTGTTGGATAACTGCGCGGAGTTTCTGTTGGGGATGATGAAAAAGTTCTGGAAAGAGGCAGTGGTGACGGTTGCACCACATTGTGAGTGTACTTAATGTCACTGAATTGCACCCTACACAGTGTTAAAAATGGCAAGTTTTATTTTTGCAAATATTTTACCACAAAAAACCTCAAGGGAATGGGACAAATGCTGTCATTATGGAGACAAGAATAAAAAAAAGTAAATAATAAATAAAATTAGAGTGTATCATCTACGGATCCAGGCTTGGAGGAAAAGCTCTCAGGCGCATCGGGCTGGGTTTCCTGGAGCTGAGAGGCTATGGAGGTGATATTGGAACAAAGACTCCAAGGTAGGGAAGAAGCAAACTCTTTGCTTGCCTAAGAGGAAGGTATTCCAGGAACACGGGATGAGAGGAACGTTGAGTGTGGTGGTTCTGAGGCTGACCACACAAGAGTGCAAAAATGGGGGAGCCCGGAGGATGGCGCGTACCCCGCGGAAGACCACTGAAGCCCACCATCCTCACCGCAGGATTCTGGAAGCCTTTGCGGAGAGCAGACACATGCTGAGACCCTCATTTTAGCAGGATCCCCATGGATCTGTTCAGATCTGTTCAGAATCAGCCAGACTGGGCCCAGGGCAGCAAAAAAGAGACGCACAGCCCTGGGGTGGGGGTGAGGGTACAGGCAGGAGGTGGTGGTGTGCTGGGCCAGGGATGCGGTGTAGGTGGGGAGGATATATTTTGGATACATCCAACAGGTCAAGCCAACAGCATGTTCTAATGGACGTAGGGGGTGGGGTGAAAGATTAGAGGAAGGACCACGCCCAGTGTCTCCCCTGAGCAGTGAGAAGGACAGAGTCCTGTTCCGGGAAGGACTTCAGACAGCCGGGTTTTGAAGGGTGATGTTCACTCTGAGAAGCCACTTGACATCGAACTGGGGATGTCAGGGAGAGACCAGGAGTGTGAATATCCAGAATCAGAGGAGGGGTCCAGACTGGACACGTTAAAATACACAGCTTACGTGACGTGATAATAGAACAAGTTAACGAAAGAGTATGACCTTTCCTCAAGAAATTAGTCATAGAATCACCATAGGATCCAACAATTCCACGTCTGGGTGCGTATCCAAAAGAATTAAGAGCAGGGGCCGAGAGATATTTGCACACCTGTGTTCATAGCAGCGTTACGCACAAGAGCCAAAAAGTAAAAGCAACTCGGGGCGCCTGGGTGGCTCAGTTGGTTAAGCGACTGCCTTCGGCTCAGGTCATGATCCTGGAGTCCTGGGATCGAGTCCCACATCGGGCTTCCTGCTCAGCGGGGAGTCTGCTTCTCCCTCTGACCCTCTTCCCTCTCGTGCTCTCTATCTCTCATTCTCTCTCTCTCAAATAAATAAATAAATAAATCTTTAAAAAAAAAAAAAAAGTCAAAGGAACTCAAGTGTCCCTCAGCAGCTGAACGGATAAAAAAAGTGTGGCCTAAACTACCATGGAATATTTTTTTTTAAGATTTTTTAAATTTAATTATTTGACACAGAGAGAAAGAGTACAAGCAGGGGGCAGCAGAAGGAGAGGGAGAAGCAGGCTCCCCGCGGAGCAGGGAGCCCCATGCGGGGCTCGATCCCAGGACCCCGAGATCATGACCTAAGCCGAAGGCAGACGCTTAACCGACTGAGCCACCCAGGCGCCCCTAACGTGGAATATTATTCAGCCTTTTTAAAAAAGGGACGGAAATTCTGACATTTGCTGCCACATGGATGAACCTTGAGGACGTTATAGTAAGTTAAACAAGCCAATCACAAAGAAGACAGGTACTGGATGACTCCACTTATGTGAGGTCTCAAAAGTAGTCAAATTCCTGGAGACAGAAATTGCAGCAGTGGTTTTAGGGGCTGGGAGGAGTGGGGAATGAGGAGTTGTTCTTTAATGGGTATGGTTCAAGTTCTGCAGCTTGAAAAGAGTTGCTCTTGTTTACTACATGTCAAAAATAATCTCGTACTCATATTTTTAGAAAATATCTAAATTTAGGACATATGGCAAAGTCACAGGTGCCTGCAGCTCTGAACCCCGCAGGGACAGCACTGTGTGTCTGGGGAGGAAGTGGCACCCTGGGTGGGGACCATGTCACGGGACGGACCAGGTCAGGCCCAGCTGTCTTGTCTTCAGTTCCCCCAACACAGATGTTCACTAAGCATTTGGGGAATGAATGAATGAGTGAATGAGCGAATGAATGAATGGCTCCTGCCTTCTCTTCACCCAGGATCCCTTCTCTTCTTCTGCCCCAGAGGCTCACACAGACCTAAAGAATCCTCTACCTTGCAGGACAGAACACCTGAGGGTCTAGATGAGGCTGTGACCTTCCAGGTCTAGCCAGGAGTTGGCTAGCTCCCTGGTGTAGACGATGCTGCTCAGACAAGCCCCTCAGGTGGGCAGACCTTAGGAGATCCACTGTGTCCCGTGCCTCACATGTCCTCAGAGGTCCTGGTCCAGTCTCCGGTGCCAGAGGGAGGTGCCGAGATGGGGGGCAGGACACGGGGTCTGCTGCTGGTCTCTCCTCCTGGATGGGGCTCCCTGGTCTCTGGCAGGCAGGGGCGGGGGTCACCGGCTTTGTGCAGAGATGGGGGGAGCTCTGGCGCTGAAGTTCCTCATCTGAGAACCACAAGGCCTTGTGCCCCTCCCCAGCTTCCTGTGGGTCCCCCACAAGCCTCCACACTGTCCACTTCTTCACCCACAGGAAACCCACACATCTTCCATTTCAAAGATGCTGCTGCCGCCACTTTTTCTGCCCCTGCTGTGGGCAGGTGAGTGGGCCGGGGGTGGGGTGGGCAGGCGGGGGCTGCTGCTGACCCTCGATTCCTCACAGGGTCCCTGGCTCAGCGTTCAGGATTCTGGCTGAAAGTGCCCGCGTCCCTGACGGTGCAGGAGGGCCTGTGCATCCCCGTGCCCTGCAGCTTCTCCTACCCCAATATGTTCTGGGCTGAGTCTTTCCCTGCTCTTGGCTACTGGTTCCGGGAAGGGGCCGGTGTACACCAGGATGCTCCAGTGGCCACAGCCAACCCAGATCGAGAAGTGCAGGAGGAGATCCAGGGCCGATTCCACCTCCTCGGGGACCCCCGAGACTACAACTGCTCCCTGGACATCAGAGATGCACAGAGAAGGGACTCGGGGACGTACTTCTTTAGGGTGGAGAGAGGGCCTTATGTGAAATATAGTTACCTACAGAACCAGCTCTCCGTGCGTGTGACGGGTAAAGAACGGGGTCAAGGAGAGGACACATGTCCCGTGCATGGATCCTGAGGGCTCCTGGGGCAGGGCTGGGAAGGGACCCCCCCTGATCTCCATCCTGGCTGGGGAGGAGACGACTGGCCTGGGGTAGAGGCTGCTTCCAGGGGCACACTCAGGGTCCCACTCCAGGATCTCTGTCTCTCTCCTCCTCAGCTCTGACATAGATACCTGACATCCACATCCAGGGGCCCCTAGAATCTGACCTCCCCAAGAACATTACCTGTAGTGTGCCTTGGGCCTGTAAGAGGGGGACACCCCCCACCTTCTCCTGGATCGGGGTCGCCCTCACCTCCAGGGGCTCCAAGACTCCCCACTCCTCCATGCTCACCCTCACCCCGAGGCCCCAGGACCACGGCACCAACCTCACCTGTCGAGTGACCCTCCCCGGAGCTGGCGTGAGCACGGAGAGGACCATCCAGCTCAACGTGTCCTGTGAGTGCCGGGCCAGAACGCCAGGGTCCCTGAGGGCTGCGGGTGTTGGGGAGGGGCAGGCAGGGCTTGGGAGCGATACTTGGGGAGA